TAGGATGTTTAGGAAGTTGAACCTGCCCTGTGATGCACGCTGGTACACGAGGGCACACGCTGTCACAGACGAGCCGTGCATAGGGAGCGTGTGTGTTTGTGATGCGCCGTAGAGTCTCCGCGGGTTTCAAATGAGCGCACAGGCTGCACTGAGATGCCCCACATGCTCCTGCACCCCGCTACAAGTTTACAACAGCAGCGGTTGTAATGAAATACGATCGCACTTGTTGAGTGAGAGACAAGACCGAGTCCAAACGCGATCGAGTCAGAGACGAGTACTAAGACACGGCGATCTACCCACATGACCTTGGCGATCGACTGGTAGATCGGGATCGACGTATTGTGCACCCCTGCACTAGACGGTTCAATCAGCTGTGAGTTGTGAAGCCATGACATCAAACTCGTCACGCCTGTCTGGGACCGTTTTGTGGAACAGCACAACAGTAAACAAAGCGTCGAGATGGAAGTAGTACCGGCAACGATTCCCCAGATTGAGGATTTAAAGCTGGAACAAAGATAATCCATCCATTTTCTTCCACTTATCTGTGGCCGGGTCATGGGGGCAGCGGCCTAAGCAGGGACTCCCAGACTTCCTTCACCCCGGACACTTCCTCCAGCTCAGAGAGAATGTTTGGTGAATTTTATCAAGGGGAAAGACGTTATTGTCCTTCTTCCCACAGGATTTGGCGCATTACATACATCACGACCAAATAGCAGCAATTGGTTAAATACAAAAAGTACTCGCCTATCGTTGAGCGAATGAATCCTAATGCTGTGAGGTCACATGGTTTCCACGAAGTGAAACCGGCTGATGAATCAGGCTATTGCACAGTAGGATTGTCAAAAATATTGAAAGTCAGTTACTAAAACTAGCATTGAAACTAGATACTCATTTGAGCAGGTATTGATACAATAAAAAAGTCACTTTCACAAGACAGAAATGAATCTTCCTGAATAAGTTAAGAACCAGGGTCTCTAACCTGTAGCTCGAGAACTACTAGCACTCCCTTTCAAGTCACTTGCCAAGGAATTTCTGAATTATACGTATTGTATGCAACTGAATAACTCAAATTTGATTGAAATTACCACTGAAAATGTGTTAATTTGAACTTCGTGCATTAATTAATGGATGACAGTTTATGTTTTATAGGCATCTAACTAGGGGTGTAACGACATCCAAGTCGCATGATACGATATCATCACGGTATGAACCTCACGGTACACGGATACCGTGGGAAAGGTCACGATATGGTGGAGAGGCTCACGGTTAGGGATGTATCCAAAATAATATCCAAATCTCTCAGTATGATATTTTCACAATATACATCTCACAGTACGATATTTATTGTAATATTTTGTGGAGGCTAGTGTGCTTCTTTTTCCTCTTAAAATGCCTTGACAAGACTTAATCCAAAGAACTAAAGAGAACTACTTAAAAGTACTTAGAACTGTTATGTCTGCACTGAAATGGAGCAAAGGATCATGGTCTATGTAGTTCCCTCTGTCTTTTTTTTTTTTTAGCTATTTCTGCACCATAACTCTTCATTTAAGCAAAGAGACTTGTAATTCGATATATTGTGAGGGCCCACGACTTTTGATGATACGATGTCATGATATTTGGGTTATTGTTACATCCCTAAATCTAACTGTACAACATCTAAGTCTACGTTCAGACTGCAGGGCTTAATGCTCAATTCCGATTTTTTGGTGAAATCCGATGTTTTTGCGAGGTCGTTCACATTTCCAATTAAATGCCACTTGTATGTGACTCCAGTGTGAACATTAAACGGCCTGAAAGTGTCTCACATGTGCACTGGAGACAAGACGACGTCAACCGCACCGAGCGTGCTCTGTGTTTACGGAAGTTGTTCAAACATGGATGAGAGCTTTGAGCACCTGGAGATTTTAAAGTTTCTCTTGTACCGGAGCCAGAACATGAACAACTTACTTGTTTTAAAGAGGAGATTGAGAAGGAGAAGGACGAGGTTTTTGGCCGTGGTGTTTTGTGGGGCAGCAGCAGCGACGTCCGTTGAAAGGAACGTGTGGATGTGGAGACGGAGCCAAGAGTGGTGAGTGGTGATGTGCTTCACTTCAGTGACACGGAGTTCATTAACAATTTGCGCCTACTTCAGCGCAGAATAGTGACTTTGTGTCTTGTTGATAACGTGTAGGTCAGATGAATGCACTTTGACCGTTCACACTGAAGTCGCATGTCAAAAGATCGGATATGTATCGGTTTCAGGACCACATTTCGAAGTGGCCTGGGTCATATTTGAAAAAATCGGATCTGTGTCATTCAGACTGTCATTAAAAGATCAGATACAGGTCACATAGGGGCCAAAAAATTGGATTTGGGTCACTTCAGGCTGCAGTCTGAACGTAGCCTAAGACTCGCCCTCTTATATCAACTCAATTTCTTGTGACCGCTAAAATGAGGAGCTCTCCGGCATTTTCATTTTGTAAAGGTAGTTCACCAGATGCAAAAAGTTGGAGATCCCTGCTTTGAAATGATCTTGAGCTGTGTAAGAACAAGTATAAGAGCACATACGTAGTACATAGTATACACCCATGGAGCACTATGGAACCTACCACTGAGGGATTACACATATAAAACCACATGGGAATAGAAAAGAAAGTATATGATTTAAGTTCAAAGTACAAAATTAGCCTTATTGCCAATTTCTTCACATGCACTAGACATACAAAGGAATCAGAATGAAGTTTCTGTCTATCCCTTGCGTAGACAACGACTGTGAGAGCAAGAGGCCGCTACGTCTGCACGCGCCGCCATTCAAATCAGAACACCATTCATATTCTGCTGCAGCAAACTGTTGTGTTCAGTGTTCAGTTTAATGTTGAAAATCACATTCTATTGTCTAAAGAAAGAGTGTTTTTATTATCACCGTGGTATCTGAATCTGTATCGAGTACCAAGTCTCTTCCTAGTATGGAAATTTGAGAGTTTGAAACCATGAAACCATCTGATAGGTTACTTGATTAACAGATTAATGATATAATATTGTTTACTTTTGGTATGATGCACACTGCAAAAAACAAACAGCACATCTTTATAAGAAAGGGTCAGATGGGATAAGAACTTGCGTATATGTTTTATTCCAAAGACACACAGAGTCTGTGTAGGTCCAAAATAAGAGGTGGTTTCATTTTTCAGTTTGTGTCCACTGTCCTGCTTGTTGGTGATGAGATATTTGTGAGGTCATGTCCGTACATTTTTCCATAGAATATTGTCAGTAGAGTCGGGGTCTCACAGAGCACGAGTCGGGCTCTGTTTGGGAGGTGCACTTGTGCTGATAGTCGCTCTTTTTCTACGGCGACTCATTATAAGACGAGTTTAATTGAAGATGAAGCCAAGTAAGTTCCTTTTGAAAAGTTTTTCAAAGTTTGGTGCAGCGTCTTCACTCACGTCTGTTCAAGTTGCCGTCTTCAGGTGCGGCCCTGTCCTGCCGCTTCCCCAGTTTAGGCTCCTGGCTCCACTAATGACATCAATCTGTTACAGCTAATGAAACAGCGGCAGGTGTAACCCTGTCGTCATATCATTGAAAACATCTCAGAACGTCTAATAAACAAAATGTGAACTAAAATGTGTTCAGTTAATACTACTGAGTTTGGAAAAATATCAGAATAAATGTATATTTGTGTTTAGTAAAATAAAATGGCAAATATTTGTTGGGACCATTTTGTCTTCCCCAAATATTGGTTGTGACATGTCCCCACTGTCCCTATGCAAACATACACCTTTACTTTGTCTTAAATGTTCCACAGTATACATCAAACCTGTTTATCACGAGGGAGACAAGCAGGTTTCAGCATTACTCTGCATTACAGTTCAGATCTGTGGAGAGTCCGCCATCTTCACAGAAGGAATTACTGTATTTTTGAGTAATAGAAACACCCGTGAATAAATGCTAGATGGATATGTTTAAAGCAACAACAATTCCACAGAGACAAGTATGTAGTGGACCCTCCAAAAAAGATGCACAGTGCACCTTGAAGGAAAATAGTTACGCACTCGGTTCATTCATGACATATTGACGATAAAACCTGTGATCACCTGAAACAACACAGTCAGAGCAGTTGAGTTCTTTGTGTTCTGGCCATTTTCTGTATTTTGGCTGTGTTTCAAAGTTTGGTGCAGCGTCTTCACTCACGTCTGTTCAAGTCGACATCTTCAGGTGCGGCCCTGTCCTGCCGCTTCCCCAGTTTAGGCTCCTGGCTCCACTAATGACATCACTCTGTTACAGCTAATGAAACAGCGGCAGGTGTAACCCTGTCATATCACTGAATACATCTCAGAACGTCTAATAAACAAAATGTGAACTAAAATGTGTTCAATTAATATTATTGAGTTTGGAAAAATATCAGATTAAAGTAAGTAAGTAAAATAAAATGTCAAATATTGGTAGGGACTCTTTTGTCTTCCCCAAATATTGTTTGTGACATTCCCCACTGTCCCTATGCAAACATACACCTTTAATGTCCACACTACTGACTAAACAAAATCATAAATAATAAACTAGACAGTGAAAATGCACCTGCATGTCTCCATGGAGATGTCATTGTGTTACCTGGAATGTTCCACACTATGGTATTAAACTTGATCTATTCAGTAGCTCAGTCTGATAATGCTGCCTGCTTGTCTCTGGGAGGGTAGATACTGTATGTAAATAATGCCACTGTGGAACATTCACAGCAAAGCAGCAACATTTTATGGGATATTTCATTGTATGGCAGACACCCAACCACAAATGTTACACAGTGCAACTTTAAATATACTTTTCTGTTCACTTTTTTTCTGTCACAAGCACAAAAAAGTCTATATTTTGACCTATATGTCAAAGAAATGCAGGAATTATAAGCAAATATATCCAAACAAGAATAGTTTTGTGCAACCTCAGCAAACCACATCGCATTATGTCTTGGCAGGTTTTTGTGCCTGATGCCCTCCCGTTCATAATCAATAACATAAAACTGCTGTACTTACCCAAGGGGATGGAACTTTCCTGTTAGTGATAATAACAGTATGTCCTTGGACGAGGTTTGAACCGGAGATCCTCACACTGAAGGGCAAATGCTTAAAGGAGAGACATATTATGCAGAATCAACTTTTAAGAGGTTTGAACGGCGTTATAATAGTTTCCCCTTCTCATTTAGCCTCTCGATGTTGCGTTTGGAGTGATTCATGCGTGTTTGAGTAATCTCTGTTCTGCAATCAAGAGGCCATTGCTCAGACATTTCCTGTTTTACGCTGCCCCTGATACATCAAAATAAATCCTCTCTACTCTGATCTGCAGCTATAGGCAGAGCTGTCACCGTTCCTACAGTTTTGAACAGGAAGTCAAAGTTATTTTAGATAATTATTGCAATTTAAAGGTGCACTCTGGGTCCGCTTTTCTTCATGGAGATGTTATTTCTTTGTCAGGAATGTTTCACAGTATGGCATTAAACCTTTCTATCTTCATGAAGACCAAACCAGACCAAGTTAAAGGTCAGCTCTTTGGAGAGGCGACCCCCCTCACAGTTAGAATGTTTTTCTAGGTATTTTTGAGCTATTAAACCATCTGTAATTGAATAAATGTAAAGTAGAGCTGTTTAATGTCACACTGTGGAACATTTTGAGCAGAGCAATGACATCTCCATAGAAAGAAGAAGTTGATGGACCTCCAACTAAAAAGTTACACAGTGCACCTTTAAAGGAAATTTAATGGTATATATACCGTATTTTCTGGGCTATTAGGCGCTCTGTCATTAAATGGTCTATTTTCGAACTTTTTTCACAAATAAATCGCACCGGACTTTAAAGGAAACACAACAGTGTGATGGGTGAGTGGTTTTGTTTGTTTGTGGCGTTCACGGTGACTCTGGGCTTTGTTCAGTTGTGGCGTGTAGGGAGGGTGCTGTCTGGGACCAACGGATTGTCGGTGTGTTCACAGTGACTCAGTTGTTCAGTTGTGTCTAGAAGTGGCACATTGCACTCGCTTTTTCGGTTCGTTCCTCCGTTTCGTTCCTCGTCGGCGTGGAGTGATGAGTGTGTCTGTGGGTGTGTTTCGTTGTGCGGTCGCTGTCTGCTCCGTGTGTGTTTGTGTGTTTGTGTGTTTGTGTGTTCTGCGGATGGTGTGGCTTTGTAGTTTACTGAAGTCGTGCTGGGACACCTGAGTGGATTCGTGTATGGAATGCTCTGGATTTGTTTTTTGATGGGGTTGGAGGCTTAAGAGCGTGTCTGATAGCCTGGAAAATATGGTAGTCTTTTATACAGAGCGTACAGGTAAAAAAAAAAAAGATATGCAGTGTTATCCTCATTTTAGAGTCAAAATGGTGTTGTTGCTCCAGGTATTTTCTTTTCTGGGAGATATGCTCCAATTTAAGGTTGCCGACCCCTGGGAAAGTAAACACGAACACCAGGTTTAAATCCTAGTCTCCTCGTGTTGTGGCGGTGAATTACTTCATGGCACATACAGACTCTGACGCAGATCCATAAATCAAAAACGACGGCAACAAGGCGACAGTGGCAGTTTGCGTGGAGTCAATGCAGAACTACACTTCGCCTTTTACTCCCCGAGGCTCCTGACTACAGTAGCTGTAATGCTCCGACAATCCACCAAGCGATGCGGCTTCATAGTTTACCAAAGTCTTACTAAAACATTTTGACAGATTTTTGAGCACCACGTACTAGGACTGGGTATCATTAAGAAGTTGCCAATACGATACATATCTCTATACCCAGGCCATGATACGATACAGATATAGGTACATTGAGCTTTTGATTCGTTATGATTCGATACAATATCCACTTCGATATAGTTCAGTAAAAAATAAAGGCTAAATCTGTGCAAAGTTCATATGAAACACAAACATTTTAATCATCAAAATAGTGAAAATGTCAAATAAACAAGTTTCCTTCCTCTAAACAAGCCAAAAAACTGTAGCTGTAACAAAATAATTTGGTAAAATATACCAATAAGTACTCTTGGTGATATACCGATACAACAGCCCACAATTTAGACACTGTATCATCACATTAAATGATACAATATATTAATATTTCGATATTTTTCACACTCCTACCATGTACCACATAAAATTAATTAAAAGAATTAATACATAAGGTGCACCAGATTATAAGGCACGAGGTTGATTTTTGAGAAAATTAAAGGATTTAAGTGCACCTTCTAGTTCGAAAAATACATTACATTATATTTTCAGTCTGTGCCCCAGTATTGGTGATTGGGGATTGGCAGATACTTACAGCCAAAGTATCAAAAGCTGGATTGGTGCAACTCTAATTACTAATAGCAGATAAAAGCAAAAACAAATATTCAAAAACAGAACGTTGACTCCTTTCCCCGAGCACAGAGCGCAGAGGCTTAACTAACCTTAGGATCAATACAAACCACTTCAGTTGTTTGTCATTTAACACCAGATCAATGAGAAGTCAATGTGACAAATTTGAGACCAAATGATCAAGATGGGACAAGATCTCATGAGACAAAATTGCCATAAGACTGTGCACACATGAAAAGAATGGGTTTGTGTACCTCTTGAGAGTCTGTGGTTCCAAAAAAACAGACGTACTATGACACCAAAAGTACAAAAGTATAAGTGAGGACTGGATCGCACTATTTTTTTTATTATAAATTATGTCAAAATCTTGTCTAATCTCATCCTCATGGACCTATTCTTGTATCTCGTCATGTAAAAATTGTGTCTCATCCCACTTGTACTTGGCTGAGTGGCAGCCTCACCTCCCAGCAAGAAGGTTCTGGGTTTGACTCCCGGCCTTTCTGTGTGAAGTTTGCATGTTTCACCGGTTGTGCTCACATACACGTCATGATCTGGTTATAATCTGGTTATAATCTAATTTCTGGACCTTTAAGATTATCCAAGTGACATGCAAACTGCAAATTCTGGTATGAGTGATTACAAGGGCCATGATCAGAAACAATTCCAATGATTTTGATGTTTGCGTGGTGATTTCTTATAAATTGAGAAACCTCATAATGATCAGCTTGTGAGTGTGTGACAGCCGCCTCTGGGTCCGGTCAAGTGGTAACGGAGGGAAACGGGCAGATTTTTTGACATTCAAATAGCTCTTATTCAGAAACTAGAGGAACTATTGAAATAAGTAAAGTATCAGAATGTAGGAAAGAGTTACACTCCAACAGGGTAAAGTTAAACCTGTGATATTCTTTCAAGTTCTTGACAAAAAATTTAAAAACTCATGTCGGTAACGGAGGGAATGAAATATGCAGCACTTTTTGGGCAATAAATCCAAACAGTGATAACTCTTGGTTCTCACTTCCATATCCTTAACAAACTGGTTTGAATATTTGCTTCATATAGTTTTTTCTACCATATGGTACAAGATTAGGTTGAAAAACCTCCTACTTTTTGAGTCATGAGATTTTTTATTAAGAAAGGTCATGGTAACGGAGGGAAAAGTAACGGAGGGAAAATATAAAATATATATATATTTTTTTAAAATCATGTACCTTCATCAACAGTTCAAAGATGGAATAACACAAGATATGATGAAATACATCCATTTATTTACATGATTTGCAGGTCTTTGAAATTTGAGAAATTATTTTTGTTCCATGTTTCATACATGGTCTGTTTAAAACGTATGGAACTTTAGAACCAAAAATGGTACAGAAAAAAGGTCAACAGTTTCATAAACTAGAGTACATATGTATCTGTTCAATACATTTTTATATCAGATGCATTAACTTGAATTTTTGGCCTTGTTGTTTACTTCTGTTTGACCAGGCCCCTCTGTGTCTCGGTGGGTTTCCTCCATCATCAGATCTGTGAACAGGGACAGGGGTTGTGTAGAAACAGTGATTCTCTGAGCACCCAAGCCTCAAATGCAGGACAATACAGGATAAATACAGGTCAAACATCCATCCATCCATCCATTTTCTTCCGCTTATCCAAGGTCGGGTCGCGGGGGCAACAGTCTGAGGAGGGCCTCCCAGACTTCCCTCTCCACACACACTTCCTCCAGCTCTTCCAGGGGGATCCCGAGACGTTCCCAGGCCAGCCGAGAGACATAGTCCCTCCAGCGTGTCCTGGGTCTTCCCTGTGGCCTCCTCCCAGTGGGACATGCCCAGAACACCTCCTGAGGGAGGCGCCCAGGAGGCATCCAAAACAGATGCCCGAGCCACCTCAACTGGCTCCTCTCAATGTGGAGGAGCAGCGGCTCTACTCCGAGCTCCTCCCGTGTGACTGAGCTCCTCACCCTATCTCTAAGGGAGCGCCCAGCCACCCTGCGGAGGAAACTCATTTCGACCGCTTGTATCCACGATCTTGTCCTTTCGGTCACTACCCAGAGCTCATGACCATAGGTGAGAGTAGGAACGTAGATTGACCGGTAAATCGAGAGCTTCGCCTTTCGGCTCAGCTCCTCTTCACCACAACAGTCCGATACAGCGACCGCATCACTGCCGACGCTGCACCGATCCGCCTGTCAATCTCACGCTCCATCCTCCCCTCACTCGTGAACAAGACCCCAAGATACTTGAACTCCTCCACTTGAGGCAAGGACTCTCCACCCACCTGGAGAGGGCAAGACACCTTTTTCCGGTCGAGGACCATGGCCTCGGATTTGGAGGAGCTGATCTTCATCCCAGCCGCTTCACACTCGGCTGCAAACCGCCCCAGTGCACACTGCAGGTCCTGGTTTGATGGAGCCATCAGGACAACATCATCTGCGAAACACATGCCAATCAAACATGCATCAATCAATCAATCGATGAAGAGAAACATGGGTAAAAGCTCTCGTATTTATTCAGTTATAGTTGTTTTTATTTATCAAAAGTAGAGCAAAAACATGCATTATTTCTGTCAGTGGGCCCACTTCTCCACAGATCTGACCGGGTGATGTGGCTCGTTTGTCTCCATGGAGATACTGCAGTTATATGACTTGGACACAGAAGTGCACACATCACAATATATTATAACAAACAGAAAGCATATATTGATGTAATAATAAATTACAAGTTACATAAAAGTGAGTTGTTGTACAGTTGTAGGGAGTATTATCTGTTACATAATGGTGACTTGTATAGTTGTAGGGAGTATTATCTGTTACATAAGGGTGAGTTGTTGTACAGTTGTAGGGAGT